TTCTTTCTTTCTTTCTTTCTTTCTTTCTTTCTTTCTTTCTTTCTTTCCTATATGATAAGGTTACCAGAAATAACTACCCCTTTTAAAACTTGGAAAAATTGGAATAAAGTTGCCAGGAGAAATTTATTTACTGATGCTGCCTATTATAAAATGTTTCTCATAATTTTTTCTAGTCTTTCAGGATGTTCATGTGATGATATTTATTGGGTTTGGTTTCTTGATGACCTTCCTGAAAAAATATGGCTTTGGCAGTGTTGGCATCAATTTTCTCATTGCTGCCTTGGGCCTTCAATGGGGCATCCTCTTACAAGGATTTTGGCACATGGAATCAAATAATATCCATAATACCATTGAAAGGTAAGGCACATTCCCTGGGAAAACACAAGTGACTTGAATATTAAGATTGGTTATCAAGAGTTTCCTACAAGTGAATTTCTAGCAGAATTCCTAGAAGTGTGGTGCTACAGACTGTACTGTGATACAAATCATAGTGAGCTAGAGATGATGAATGGTGTAAGATTGGCAAGTATATTTGCCTTATAAAAACAATATATCCCATACCAACTTCTTCAGATGTTCAGTCCTTCTAAGGATTTTTAGACTTATTTCCTAAATCTGAGATAGAACCTATGGTTTCTAAAAAAAATCTAGGAACTCTAGTTAAGGAACACATTCTCTAATACATATGTCTTCTACTTTTTGGCTTTTAGCAAGGGCAGGAACCTCTGACTCCACAGACATTACTGTATTGAATTATATCTTCTAGAACAGGGGTCGCCAACCTTTTGGACCTCAGGGACCACCAAACTCATAATTTGAAATCCCGCAGACCACTAATATGAATTTTGATGACAGTGGCTTGCTGACATTGGTGGGAAAGTCGGTCCCATTTCCAGAGCTGTAGTAGTCACAAGACCAGCCCTTTGGTCATCCCAGAGCAGCTGCTCCTCCACCCGGGTGCACTGGCCTGCCATGGACTGGAAGAGCTGCTGTGGGATGACCAAAGTGTCACTCTTGTGACTACTGAAGCTCTAGAATATGGGACCAGCTTTCCCACCATCAGCAAGCCACCTGGGGGTGGATTTCCCTTCCCCACCATTGGTTTTACCTTCTGCTCCAGCTCACTGGCTCTACTCAAGGTAAGATTTGCGCTTGGCCGAAGGGTGAGGGCCAGCAGGTGGACCATGTGGGTGGCACAGCCTTAGGTTCCTGCACAGCCTGGATTAATTGCTTTGGGGGACTGCTTGCAGGGGGGAACATTTCTCTGCAGACCACCAAAATTTTCTCGCAGACCACCAGTGGTCCCCGGCCCACCGGTTGGTGACCACTGTTCTAGAAGCCATAGCAAGGGTTACTGCAAGTTGTACTTCTGTAATATCAGGAAGGCCTTAAAATTCACCACCCCTAATTTAAACACTAAAAAGGTAAACAAGCAAATAAACAAACAATGAATGAAAAATTAAAAACAACACTAATATTAAGTAACACATTTTAAGCCTTTCATTGGTTTGGCCACGGCCCAATTGTTTCATTAGACTTTATTGTTTAGAAATTTCAGTGGTGAATGAAATTGTACTATGAAAGCTAGAATACATATATCCTGATAGAGGATTTCAATTGGCAGTTTAGCAGCTGACACCTTATTGATTGCAGCTTATTTTTCTCCTTCACTAAGTCTCCTTTCAATCTGTCACTTTTGTAGGATGGACAAATTGTTCTGTTCAGATCTGTAATTTGTGAAAAATGTTTTGGGCCTTCACAATAATGTTAAAGAGTAAATAGGTCTTCCACCATTGATTCATATGTTAATTCTTAATAATGGTTTGAATAGTTTTGTGCTATATGCTAGTAATGAATTCAAATTTTTAAAAAGTATAAAATCTATGAATGAGTATATTTCCTCAATCAGCAGCTAAAATTAGTTTCATTTGGGGGTGTCTATTATGTATTCTAATCTGATTGTCTGAACTTCCTGAAATGTTGGTCCTTTTAAAATATTTTTAAGTCCAAATCTATCACTGTTGCAAGGAGTGTAAATAGTATCTTTCCACAAGGGGGTGCTATGTTCATTGAACTTCAACAATGTTTTTGCTAAAAGAAAAGCAAATCCTTGACAAGAAAAAAATATTTCCTGAAACTGAAAATGCAGAGTGCAGTTCCCTCCAGCTAGTAATTTCATTGTTATAACTATCACATACATTGGCAATAGGCACTGGTATGCACCAATTTCTTATCTTTGACTATTTCATGCACTTTTAAAAAGCAAGATACTGCTTTCTACATTTAGAGATGGCGTTGTGATCATCAATGTACTATTGACATTGTCACATCACGTAAGAAAAAAAACTTGCCGAATTTTCTAAATTAAAATATCAGCCAATCCTTTCTGCATGTCCAGATAAGGGCATTCTTAGTTTATACAAAACTTCTCCTGGGGTTAATTGTTGGAAGGTGGTACATACTATACAGTATTCTGCAATAAATTTCCAGTGAATAAAAAGAGTTGCAGACATTTCAAGACATCACTTTTCTAAAAAAAAACAATGAAATAGAGAAAATTCTGCATCAGATTATTTGCAATTATTAAAAACCTGTTCCAATAAGGTATTTGTCATTACTTATTAAGCTAATATATGGTATTTTTAAATCTATATCCACTGCTTTTCTTTCAAGATGTTGAGGAGCAGACTAGACATAATAACAGTTCTTTTCTGCTGCTGTTCCACCCTACCTTTTCCCAAGTTTTCCTTGTAATATCTTCTGCAGCACAGTATTAGCAATAGCACTTAGACCTATATAAAGCTTCATAGGCTTTATAGCCCTCTCTAAGTGGTTTACAGAGTCAGCATATTGCTCCCAACAATTTGGGCCCTCATTTTACTAACCTCAGAAGGATGAACGGCTGAGTAAACTTTGAGTCAGTAGGAATCAAACTCCTGGCAGTGGGCAGAGTCATCCTGCAATACTGCATTCTAAGCACTGTGCCATCACGGCTCTTGAAATGCAAATTCCAAGGCAAAGAAGCACTTTATAAGAGAAATGAAAAAACAAAGAAGGCAGTTCTGTACTTCTTATAATAACTCATTTTGGCATCCAAACTTTCTCATGGTCAAATTGCTCATTATTTATTCAGAAGATATTATTTACACATCTTCTTTTGGCTTTAATACACCATCAGATAATGAATAGGAGCAAGAGTACTCAACCTAAGAATAAGATCCTGTGCTTCTTACCCAGCAATAATACTGAGTCAACAACTCTTTTTAATTTGGATTCAGATGAGGAACTCCTTCATCTAGTTCTTGAGAAGGCCAGCATCAGAAAATAAAGTGATATAAAGCCAGCTAGAGCCAGCAAGCTTGATTTAAGGAGCAACCTGCTAATTGAAGTCACAGTAGATGTGTAGGATGCCACCTGGGCTTGGAAAAGTAACTAGGACAGTACTGACCCATCAGGGTTTTCATGATTCTCTGTCTTAGAATACACAATTACAAAACCTTCCTTAAAGCAGAATTCATTCATTAAGTTTTAGCTCCTCTTTTCTTTCTCTTTCCCTCTGATTGAGTTTACTTGTATGTCAGTCAATATATTCAGTCAACAAACAGCAAAGATATGGAATTTACCACTTTAGGAAAATCTGAATGGATTTATTATGATCTTAAAACAAATAAAAGCAGTAATTCATGAAGCCAGGATAACTATTTTAAATTAAAAAACATGAATGAATAACATTTATTTTGCATCTTTATGTGGTTTATTAATAGTTGCTATTTGAATACATATATAACCTATATGTTTTTTTATTTTTTTCTCGTTAAATCAAAAGTATGATAAATGCAGACTTCAGCACAGCAGCTGTCCTGATCTCATTTGGAGCCATCCTGGGGAAAACAAGTCCAGTTCAGATGCTGATTTTAACAATATTTGAAATTACTATATTTGTATGCAATGAACATCTTGTGGTGAATGTGCTAAAGGTAGAAATTTTCTGGCTTCTATTTCACTGTGATGTACATGTCATTTAAGGGGATCCTCTCTTCTAGGTCATCTTTTTATTTTTGGTATGTTGGACTTTAAGACCTTCTCTGACCATGAGTATTTTCTTGTTTGTCTTGCTTTGGAAGAACATTTTGATTTGAGTGCTGCATTATATTTCCATGAAAAGGAAGTGCTCAGTTACGAGAAATAGTGTGGGTCTTTTGTCTTTTTTCCCATGACAGGAAAAAAACCCAGCTTTAATGAAAAACAAACCCCACTGGGTGAAAATTAATCAGTAGGAGGGAAATGAAGATTAAAAGTCCACCAGGTTTATTCCACTTTGGATTAGGGATCACCAGTTTCTTTTACATCCAGGATCTATTTTGGTACCATAATAGAATGAACCAAACATTTAAAATAAAATGAACCAAACATTTCTGCTGACTAAATTAAAGAAACAGATGTTCTTTAGAAATTGGCCCTCTCTGTGCCAAGTGTTTCCAGAAAGAGAAGGCACTTTCAACAAATCCAAGAGATGAATGACTCTAGAACTTGCTAAGTAATTCCTAACCCATCTTCTCTCAGGAACAGTCAACCAATATGTCTCCCAGTTTATTTACTTATCAAATTTATATAGCTGCTCATCTCACAAATGTGACCATGGGCAGCATAGAATAAAACAAACAAAATAAATCTAAAAGAACAATTTGAAACAATTCAGCATAAATATAAATAAGACCATGGGAGAAATTTACACACAATACAACCATTTCATGCTATTTGTCCATGAAAACCTTCCTGTTGGTTTTCCTGTTCTAAATGGAAATACCAAGTTCAGAAGCAATGTGTGGCTGAACACACAATGCTGTTATACAAACAGAATCTGATTGCCCTCTGCTTTCTCTGCTTTGTAAGTATCCAGAGGGCATTCGGGATGACTACTTTTAAAACAGAGTGTGACAATAGTTGGTATTTAGAAGGAAATCCAGTCCCTTCTGAGCCAGGACAAGAAAAAAAAAATGCAGAACATATGTGGTTGCTTGAAGTAGAGGCGAAAATTATTTCTGAGAATACACTATAGGAAGAGTACCACATAAGCAGTTGGAGGTGGACATCCTGAGTCTTCCCCCATAAGTTCCTTATATAGGAAAACCTTGCCTTTGTTCTATGAAGATAGGCGGAACGAACCTGCCCTTCAGGAAATTGACTGGTTCTCCAAAGGGAATCATTCTAGGGTCAGGTGTAGTAGTGGTATGCTACTGGTTTGGACCGGTGCAGCTGAACCGGTAGTAAAAAAAAAAGCCTCCAAGGATCAGCTGAGAGGAGGAAAAAAAGAGACAATCAGCTAAGAAAGAAAAGAAAAACACAGGATCGGCCCTCCCACCCGCCTCTGCATTTTTCTCTTCTTTATCCTCTCAGCTGATTGGTGTTGCAGGCTTCAGCTGGTGTGGGGAAAGCTGCGCATGCGCATTAGGTGTGGGCACATTAGGTGCGCACACACACATGCACGATCACCAAACCGGTAGTGGAACAGGTAGGATCCCACAGCTGATCAGGTGCCCTGTAAGCTATAGTTTTTCATTTATTTCCTGCTCAATTACCATTATAGATAGAAGTGGCAGTCTCATGGAGGCAAGAATCTTTTGTTTATTATTGGGTGCATTCTCTGGCATCCTGAAAGGAATGTTTACCTGAATGGGCTGCTGCCTTTGGCCAATTTCAACCTTTTTGTCAAGTTTGTTACCTTTTGTTTTAGTATAATTTCTCATCTTTAGCTCTGTGGCTGTGAGATTGGGACTGAGGAATAAGAGAAGACTGAATATCAGGGATGATTGGGGAACGGGACAGATGTTTGCCAAAGACTGAACTGAACAAAAGACAGATCTGGGACCAGAGCTATAGACACCAAACATAGGCATCACATTTTGGCATCCATCTTTATTACCTTGCTGTGGCACAAGACTCCTCTCCTCAAATTCACAACTTTCTATGACTACAGAGATCCTGGGAAAAACAAATTTGGGCAAATTGGTCACAGAATGGATTCCTTATTGGCCCAACAAATAATGAATTTCACTCCTGCAAGTTCAGGGGGTAATAACACCAAGACCACTTCCACCAACACTGACAGTCCAAGTTTCTGGAATATAAAATGTGAGCAAACCCCGCTCCCTTCTAGCACTGATGAAGTTACCTAGTTTGGATAATGAAAGGTCTGCAAGGCAACAACCAAGCTCAGAAGCACCTTCAGCTTTAAACAGCTTGTATATGCATATAGCTATTTACATACTATTAAAAAAATGCCTTTTGGAAAGGGTTGGTTCTCGTCAGTTTTGAGTATTTAAAGACTTTGAAAAAAATTAAAGGTTGAACTATTTTTAAAAAGTACAATTTATTTAATTTAACACACTTTACATCTTAAAAAATAAAAATACAACTTAAAATTGATTTGAGAGAAAAATATACTTACCTTAGTGCTATGCAAGGAAAACCATGAGATTAAAATTATATTTAGAATAAGGAACCAGCACGAGTTTTTAGGTAAATTACTGTTGAATTTTAAAATTATCTGGCCAAGGTTTATCATTACTAGAGGAGGTTTTTGCTGCATATACTGTTGTCTCCAGAAAAATAATCGGCAACAGAAAATTTTCCCCCAAGTTCTTTTAATAAATTGAATAAATTAATTGAATTGCTTCAATGCAGTAAGCCCAATCAAATATTTCAAACATTTCAAACAGTTTAATTTCAATTAATCTCCATTTGGTTTTCCCCCCTGTTTAATCATGTCCGATTCTTGGAGTATGCCTGGACAAGTCCTTGCATTTTTCTTGGCAAGATTTTTCAGAAGTGGTTTGCCATTGCCTCTTCCTAGAGGTGAGAGCAAGTTCACCCAGCTAACTTTGTGCACGACTTGGTCTTAGAACTCATGTCCCTCCCATTTCTAGCCAAACTGGCTCTTCCAAGTCTGATATTTTCTGGCTATCTTATGTCCATTCAAAGTAGAAATAAAGATCTGATCTTTAATTTTAACAGTTAGATTAAAAAAAATTTTTTTAACAGTCTTGAACACTGGCCTATCTAACAAAATGGAATTCAGTGGTGACTAAAGTAAGGTTTTACACTTAGGCAAGAAAAACCAGATACACATGTCCAGGTTGGTATAGGGTCTCCAACTCTGTTATTCTGTTATTTAAGGTATACCAGTAATTTCAGTGACCTAAAGAGGGCATCAGTGCTCTATCATGAACCTATTACGTACCTTTAGAGTGATAAAGGAAAAAAAAAACAATTTAACTTACTAAAGAAGGACTTTGTAAGCTGTACAGATATCATCTATTGTCCAAAATTAGCCTCTTGGCATTAAGCATAGTAAGAGAAAAGGAAGCAAATTCTACACACCTTTTTGCATAATTGCTCTGATACAATGACAACACTGCTTCAGACACTGACACACAGATGCAAAGACATATTTGTTTATTAAAGTCCATATATGCACATATCCAGAGCCATTGACTGAGATGGGTGGCTATAGAAACTGAATAAATAAATACATAAATATGTGCTAATCTGCATTTATTTATTTATTTAAATTAAAATGTGCTATTCGTTTGGAAGGCTATGGTGAAATGGTGATTCACTGTAGCTAAGTGCTGAAGCTCACGCTAATGTTTTGCAGGCCACAGATACTGGGGCATCCATGACTATTCATACTTTTGGAGCTTATTTTGGGTTGGCTGTGGCCAGATTCCTCTACCGGCCAGGCTTGAAAAATGGACATCCTAAAGAAGGTTCTGTTTACCATTCAGACCTATTTGCTATGATTGGTGAGTGAGTACTTCATTGTTTGGTAAATTCCATGGCACTGTTTTTAAACTAATTAACTAACTTGTTTTTAATAACATTTTAATAACAATCTTGAACTGATTGACGAATCACAAAATAAAAAATGACTGCGGTACAAACAATTGAACATCCATCAGTTAAAAGCAGATTGTACAGCCCTTTGTGTTGAAATGTGGGTAGAAGGAAGTGAAGAGGGAAGGATAGCCTTGCATCCACTCATAGGCCTCAGTTGCTACTTCTATGGAGTATCGCCTCATTGCAAGGAGGGGTCCTGCACTCCATGCACTTGGGTATATAGGTTATATTTTTCTGAACTTTACCTCTTTTCTTCTAGTCAGGCAGGTTCTTCATTCTTCCAGTTGATGCCCTTTGTTCTAAATGAAATATCAGCACTTAATAAGTGATCTCAAAGTAACTTTGACTCAGATTCATTATCTTCTGGATGTTGTGTTAAAGGTTGAGAACATGACATGTAATGTGAGCAGCAAATTTTTCTCCAAAATCTATAAAAGTGAAATATTATTCAGACTGTTCATATTTACAGCAGGAACTCAAAGCTGTTTTACCTCTCCATCTATATCTGCCCAATTTCAAGTTATACAGGTAGTCCTCAGATTATGACTGATAATTTAGCAACCATTCAAAGGTATCACTGGGGGGCTATTGACAACCCAGATTCAAAGTTCCAATGGTTCCACTCCGCAATCATGTGACCGAACTTCAGGTGTTCAGCAACCAAGCTATATTTATGGTCAATTGCAGCATCCTGCAGTCACATAATGGTGTTTTACGGAAGTTTTGCTATAAACTAGCATTTACTTCTACTTTTTTTAAGCAAAACTGCAACCATCGTGAACCACTGGTTTGCTTAACAACCACAGCATTTGTTTAACAACTCCGGCATTTGTTTTACGACCATGGCGTTCCCTTAATGATTGTCACAAAAGAGGTCATAAAACTAGGTTGCTCACACAACCAAACTGTTTACAACCATCACAACTCACAGTCATGATGGGCAGACTCTATTACATAAATTGAGGACTCCCTATATATGATCCTGTTAAATTTGGTGTAGTGGTTAAGGGCCAGGTTAAAAGCCCCTGTCTGTGAGTTTTTGTCCTGCCTTAAGTAAAAAGCTAGCTAGGTTACCTTGGTTGGGTTAGACCCTCTTTCTGAACCCTACAAAGCAGGTGAGGGAAACCACTTCCAAAATTTTGCCATGAAAACTGACACTAAGCCAGGCAATTGCCAGGAGTCAAGACTGATACATTTCCTTTTTCAGGTACTCTTTTCCTTTGGCTCTTTTGGCCCAGTTTTAACTCAGCCATTGCGAAATCATCAGAGGAGCAACAGAGAGCAATCATGAACACATACTTCTCGTTAGCAGCATGCACCGTCACCACATTTGCTTTGTCTATTCTGGTTGAACACCGAGGCAAACTGGACATGGTAAGTATTGCCTTGAACTTCAGTGAGAGAGGTCTGCTTGAACTAACCAACATGCTTCACAGCAGTATAAAAGAGTTTCTTAAAAGATTACTACATCTTATTAATCCAAGCCAAGCTGTTCCAATTTGTATTGTATAAAAGCACATAATTGGCTTGCTGTCAGGATTCCGGCAGTTGCCCATATTGAATCATGAGCCTCGAGCCAAGCTTCAAAAACTTCAAAAGATTTACTAGGAGCAAACATGTCGGCATGACCTGTATGAAGCCGATTCTGAGACATGTAATTCACTATCACCTATGACCAGAGGTGATATTCAGCAGGTTCTGACCAGTTCTGGAGAACCGGTAGTGGAAATTTTGAGTAGTTTGGAGAACCGACAAATACCCCCTCTGACTGGAGATTTTACAGTATCCTTCCCCTGCCAGGCCCACCAAGCCACGCCCACAGAACCGGTAGTAAAATAATTTGAATCCCACCACTGCCTATGACCCTGTTTCTCTCCACCCATCCCTCTGGGTGTATCCCCCCCACCCCATTGTGTGTTTTCTTCTACAAAAATACGGTGTGGCACACTAGGCTCAAAAAGTAATTACCTATAAGTTAAGGATTTGCTAATGTGTTGATAGAGATCTGGGCACTTTGAAAATCATTTGGAGGAAGTGCTTCAGATCTTGTATAAGCCTAGCATCTCTCTCCTGGACAGCCTGAAAAGAAATATGTCTGCTCTAAATGTGGCATTAATGATGCACTATTTGATAATTTGAATAATTAAAGCAGCACTTTTTCATAGCTCACGCAAGCTTGGAAAAAAGTGCATTTTAATGACTAGCAGGCAAATACTGTGCTTCCATGTGGTTTAAAATATTTCTTCTGAAACTATCTTAGAGGTTTAAACTTCAGCTGGATAATCACATGTACAGTATTTATAGGCGTTCCACATTACAAATACTATGATGAAATTCTGCAGGAGATCATTTTAAAGATAAATTTAGGAACTCTGATTTAAACAGTTTCTTAGAGCACAAAAGTTTTAAAAAAATTATTAGAGGAGTCGTTATTTCTTATTTGTGTCATTTTGCAAAAATCACATTTCAACAACTTTTCACTTTCCCCTCCCCCACTTACACCCCAACCATAAGATAGCTTTCTAACTACACTTTCTCTCAGAACACTAATTTTTGAAAGTATCATCTTCAAAACAGACAGAAATATGAGTACTAGGGAAGTGCTTAAAACAAAAACAAACAACACCTTGCTTGAGCAAGTAAATTTCAGTTTGCACATTGGATAAGGATGTGCAGTATGAAATTATAAGGACAAAATTCTTTAAGTATACTTACTAATGACAAATGTTTGTAAAATTTGACCAGAGGTGGTATTCAGCAGGTTCTGACCAGTTCCAATATGAATCTGCCCAGTCCTTAAGATTGGCCTATGTGGATCCTTCTGTAATACATCACACAGGATCTTCTTGGTAATGGCACTTTAATTCTTGACTGCTTTCTGAAGGAGGTTCAAGCAACTGTTTGCGCTCTTGCTTTGTGATTACTAAACTTCAATTGAAGGTAGTTTCTGCTCTTTTAATTTGTTATTTCTCATTTTATTTCTACTATATATTTACATTTGTTTTCTGTTCTATTTATTTCAAGTAGTGTTTTTATTGTTATTTTATGGTGACCCTTTTGTTTTCAAAGCTCTTTGTAAAAGAATGGACTTACAGAATTTAAATAATCAAAAAGAAAGAATTTAGCCATGCTTTGGTTATCTCATAATGTAATTGTCAGCTCTGCCTGATTTGACTTGATGCCTCACAGGCATCCTGCCATCAAAGACTGGAGTTGGGTGGGGGGGATGAAAGGGCAATAAATAAAACTATATGTGTACATGATGGGAAAATGGGAGGGGGGAATGACAGATGCAGCATCCCGCAGCACTTCAATGTTCTCAAAACGACTTAGCAAACTCCAGTTATCTGGAAATGTACTGGTCACAGCGGGAAAGATGGGCTGTGGGTGAACCTTTTTTTGTTTTTTTGTAATTTGCAAGTGTGGCAAATTTCAGAGCTGGCTTGATTTTACTGCAACCTACACCTTTAGTAAAAGAACGCTTTGTTTTAATCAAATGGAGTCAAGGGCCTATTTTCCTATTTCCCCCAGATTGGGGCAAGTCTGACAGTACTGCTCTTGTACTTCAATAACAAGGATTATAATAGTGGATATCCTACAATTCCATACATTTGATTGATTCTATACCATAAAGTCAGAGTTGATTCTTAGTGACCATACAGATATCACAGGTGTTTGAATATTTGATGTGTGATATCACACAGATATTACAGGGATAGGAATAGCCAAATTCCAGTAATTCCACTGATTCCAAATCAATAGGATTGCTATCACAATGATATCACTTGGATAATGAGATTTCCCAATAGGGAAAGTAGAGTTCTTGTTGATTTCACTGTTGTTTAGCAAGCATTTCTTGCCATAGAGAATGAGAAACAATGAACTGGTTTTCTTTCAATGCAATTGTAGCCAACGATTAAAAGTACTATGACCCTACTTTTCATTATTTTAATTCTGTGCATATTTAACATATATGAAACTTCCAAATTTCATTTATAAGAGTTAAATCAGAAAACAAATTATATAAGCTTGATGAACCCCAGCCAAGAAGAGAGCATGTATTCATAGTTTTTAAACTAATGGCAGGTCATATATTCTGTATAGATCAGTTCCAGGCTGTTCCTCTAATAAATGAAACTTGGTCAGTAGAAACACAGATTTTTGGTTCTGGAGAGCCATGGGTTGGTCTGGTTCTTATTCAAGGGTTATGCGTGGAGGCCATTATGAGCTGCTACACAATTCCTGTGGTACACTCAGATCACTTAAAGCAAATTGATATCCTGTGCTTCAGCTGAGAATACTTTCCCCTGGCATTAGAGATCTCCTCTCACTGATCATATTTTATGTCTCCCACAGGTGCACATTCAAAATGCCACCTTGGCAGGTGGTGTTGCTGTGGGTTCATGTGCTGACCTGAACATCTTGCCAGTTGGGGCTTTATTAATTGGTAGCATAGCAGGAATCATCTCAGTTGTTGGATACAAGTACTTATCTGTGAGTATTTTATGTAAAAAAAAGTAATTCTAATAGTGAATTAATAGTAATTCCCCTGCCTAGCTAACTCAATTTTCTCTCTTTCCAATCCTCTAAGCCAGTGGTTCCCAAACTTTTTTTTGCCCCGCACCCCTAAAGAAATTTCACTTGAACCTTGCACCCCCTGAAATTTAGACTTTAGGAACTACTGAATGTGTTAAATATATGGTAGGATTGAATCTTTTCAGCTATGTATGTGACAGCCACTAAATAACGATACTTAACTCTAAAATGAAAACAAAGTTGATCCATTGCAAAAGAAAATAAAAATGCCAACAGATAGCCAATATCCTATTATTTACCTGGACTTTTCTCGCACCCCCGGAATATCGTCTCGCACCCCCAGGTTGGGAACCCCTGCTCTAAGCCATCTTCATTAGAATTTGGGGGGTTGTAGTCTACTACAAGCGGTAGGATACCTTGTTAGGGAAGGTTTAGCTAATAGATACAAGCAGGCATGATAGTTGCACATGGGTATTAAGCAACCTCTTCTGCAATTGCCTTTCTCTCTCCTCCAAGTTCCCAAGGTCTGTCAGATTTTCATCATAGGAAGCAAGCTGTATTGGAGACAGAGATCCCCACACAGAGAAGAGCTACTTTCAAGACACACTTGATAGATGGCTTCTTCAGCAAGCGTTTTCTGCACCCTTGGGTGGAATAGGCAAAAACCATACTGGACAGGCTATCTTAAAAGTACTCAAGTCCTGAGCTACATTGGCATTATGGGGAATAATTGCATTTGGAAATATATTAGCAACCAGTGCAACCGCTATCTTTGAATTGTACTTGTATATAATATTATACTATGTGCTTTCAATCAGAAAGAAGCCTATGGAAGACCCTGATATATGTCTGCTTAAGTTAGACTGAGTATTGGGTCTATTCTATGATTCCAGCGAAAGCTAGAAGACTTGCATCCCACCCCATCTGTTTGTAGGACAGTAGACTCAAACCAGTGTTTAAAGGAACTCCATTGCAATATACTGTACATATATTGTATAAAGCATGCTAGTTTGTATAGAATGGAAAGTGAAAAAGAAGGCAAGCAAGCTTTATTTTCTTTTTAAAGGTTATTACAAAATAACCTCTTGTTTTCTTCTAAGCCATTGCTAGCCTCCAAGCTGAAAATTCAAGACACCTGTGGCGTCCATAATCTACATGGCTTACCTGGGCTGTTGGGAGGCATTGCAAGTATCATTGCAGCTGCTCTGCAGGTTAACAGCAAGTAAGTTTTTTTAAATTTATATTTTATTGGCATTTAACTGATTGGACAGATTTATAGACCACTTTGAGAGAGAAATTCTCACCAAGTAGATTGCAAAATTATTTCATTTGGCAATAGATCTTAAACAGTTTTTTCTCTGCCAGTAAACAATCTTTATAACAAGATTGATAGAGATGCCTTGGTAAAACCAAAGAAAGAACAAGGCTCAAAATAATCAAGCTCTCCAATCACAAAATAAGTAAGTTTGGTTGGTAACCTGTTTATTGTTTAAGCAGACAGTCAGGGGTACTGGAATTTGACCAGGCCCTAGGCCAATGTTCCCCAAATTTAGCAATTGTAAGATAAGCAGACTTCAACTCCCAAAATTTTCCAACTACAATGGCTGGCTAGGGAATTCTGGAAGTTGAGGTTCACTCATCTTTAAGTTGCTAAAGTTGGAAAGCATTGTGGTAGGTCATTAATCAATCAGTAACATTAGCACATCTGTCAAGCCTTTAGGCAGGAGGAGAACTGAAACTATATTAGATCCTAAGGAATTTTTTAAAAAATGGTAGGAAGAAGAAAGTAGAAACAAAAGAAAGTCTCTTGTGATTTGCATTCCTTTTCCATTCATCAGCCTTGCTCATCCAGCATGTTCTTAGAGGATTACAAAACATTTGAATGGGCTGTTTTGCAAAATACACTGGCAGAAGCAAAGCAGCCCTCTGCAAAGTGTTAAAATGGATGTACTTTCAAAGTCTTCCCTAATAGTCTGCATGTGATATGCACTTCCACAGCTGTTGCTGGGTTAGGTAGAAGTGACTTTTGTATGTACCCATACATCTGAACAACCAGACATAGTCCTCAAAGAAGTCTGCATAAGGTTTCCAGATGACACAAAGTTCATTTGTTCTCTTTACAGTGTATCTGTTGGGATGCAGGCTGCTGCTCTAGGCTGCTCTGTTGCAATTGCTCTGGTAGGAGGAGCATTTACAGGTCAGTAAACTAAAGACATCTTCAGGAAATGGGGAACTTCATGCAGATCACAACTTCTGTCGATGAATGGATGGATAGAATGCAGAGTTATAACATCTTCAAAAAAACTGACTAAGAATTTGCAGAACTGTTCCTTCTTATCTGCTTACTTAATGAAACATGCTATTACAACTAATACATTGTGGGTTTTTTTAAAATCCACTCTTTGGCAGTGGAGCATCATTTGCAGGAATAGAATACAGTTGCTCCTCTATTTTCAGTGGTCTATGCAATCTTTATGTCTCTTATGATAGAAAATATTCCCACTGATAACCTGGAAATTGTTTCCTCCTCGTGATACAGGATTAATAGTCAGCTTGCCTTTCCTGGGACAGCCACCTGATGAGAACTGCTATGATGACTCCGTATATTGGGAGGTAGGACACATTTCAAACAATAGAGAAGAACTGCAATTTGTGGCAACATATATATATATTTTTCCACTGGGATGTTTTTTAAGCTTCTGGTTTTTAATCACATTTTATCACTGGTGTAGTGTATTTAAATAGAGACTTCTAGGGCAATGTTCCTATTGGTTAGCAAAAGCAATGATATGATTGGTTAGTAACGTTAGTATCTGATCAGCGGCCTATAGCGGCGGGAAGTTAAATAAATGTCATTGGTTGCGAGCCGCTATAAAAAGGGCTGCTGCGGCTCGACTGCAGTTGAAGTTACTGTTTGTTATTAAAGAGCTGAATTCAACTCCTGTCTGTGAGTCTCTTTACTGGCGACAGAACAACCGGATTCTTAGAACTGATTCCATATTTTGTTTTGCTGAATAAAGAATTGGAAAGATGAGTTCCTTAATCTTAGGATCGAGTAGTTCTATTCTTTTCATAGCTTTGCTAAGGTTATTTTGAGCTGAAAAAAAATCTGATGATGCAACTTAAAAGGTGAAACTAATATATGAGATAGACTCATTACATGCAAAGCAAGATAGTTCAAGCTGTGATTTGTCATAACTGAGATGATTATGGCTTATAGCTCATGAAAACCCCAAATCCACAATCTCAGAAAATTAGAATATTACATGCAATCAATAAAACAAGGATTGTACATAGAACAATATCGGACCTCTGAAAAGTATAGGCATGCATATGGACTCAGTACTTGGTTTGGGCCCCTTTTGCAGCAGTTACTGCCTCAATGTGGCATGGCATGGAAGCTATCAGCCTGTGACACTGCTGAGGTGTTATGGAAGACCAGGATGCTTCAATAGCGGCCTTCAGCTTTTCTACATTGTTAGGTCTCATGTCTCTCATCTTTCTCTTGCCAATGCCCCATAGATTCTCGAGTTTGCTGGCCAATCAAGCACAGTAATCCCATGGTCATTGAACCAGGTTTTGGTGCTTTTGGCAGTGTGGGCAGGTGCCAAGTCCTGCTGGAAAATGAAGTCAGCATCCCCATAAAGCTCATCTGCGTAAGGAAGCATGAAGTTCCCCAAAATGTCCTGGTAGACGGCTGTGTTGGCCCTGGACTTAATGAAGCACAGTGGACCAACACCAGCAGATGACATGGCTCCCCAAATCAACACAGACTGTGGAAACTTCACACTGGACTTCAAGCATCTTGCAGTGTGTGCCTCACCATTCTTCCTCCAGACTCTGGGTCCTTGGTTTCCAAATGAGATGCAAAAGTTGCTCTCATCAGAAAAGAGAACTTTGGACCACTGAGCAACAGACCAGTTCTGTTTTTCTTTAGCCCAAGTAAGATGCTTCTGATGTTGTTTGTTGTTCAGGAGAGGCTTGACAAGAGGAATATGACATTTGAAGCCCATGTCCAGGATGCGTCTGTGTGTGGTGGCTCTTGATGCACTGACTCCAGCTTCAGTCCACTCCTTGTGAAAGTCCCCAACACTTTTGAATGGCTTTTTCCTGACAATCCTCTCCAGGCTACGGTCATCCCTGCTGCTTGTGCACCTTTTTCTTCCAGACTTTTCCCTTCCACATAACTTTCTATTAAAGTGCTTTGAAACTTTGGAAACTTTGAAACTGGAAACATTCAACTTCTTTTGCAGTTACCTTTTGAGGCTTTCCCTCCTTATGGAGGGTGTCAATGATGGTTTTCTGCACAACTGTCAGGTCAGCAATCTTTCCCATGATTCTGCTTTCTAATGAACCAGACTGAGAGACCATTTAAAGGTTCAGGAACCCTTTGCAGGTCATCTCAATTATGACAAATCATGGCTTGAACTATCTAGCTTTGCATGTAATGAGTCTATCTCATATATTAGTTTCACCTTTTAAGTTTCATTACTGAAATAAATGAACATTTGCACGATATTCTAATTTTTCGAGTTTCACCTGTACCATGAATAATGGTGTAACTATGGCTATATTGATATATTGACATATTAAAACAATAACGTGGTATAAAAGAGGTACAGTTCTACTGGGACATTTCCTCAGCAAATTTCCATTCAATTAATTTGGGTTTATAAGGTAGAACAATGCCAGTTCCCAATAGATTATATCTAGAGATTTAGTAATGGGGAGAGGGAGAGGGAGAGGGA